TCAGGAGAAAGAAACAATCTTGAGAAAGCCAAAACCCATAAAGAAATGCAGAAACAGAATGCACGCAGAGGAAGAATACCAGAGAGCCCCATGACGGTGGGCAGCCAGCCAGCCAGCTCCTTCCCCACCTGGAGCAGAGGAAACAGTCCCTCAGCCTCAGGATCTGACTCCTGCCTCCCTTCCCCAGCTGGGAACACGGAGTCGTCCCCTCGCTGGAAGCAGTTCAACAGTGATGCTGTTGAACTTAAGGCTCTTTCTGGAGGCCCCGCACCATCGTTTACTTACTGTTTCAACTTTATTAACCTGCAGCTAACCATTAGCTTCATGGGTGAGTTCAGATCTGTTGCTCTTTTTTCAGTGAGGATACAGCCATTAACATTTTTCGAGATGAAAAGCAAAACACAGACCCAAATCCTGGTTTGCTTCCAGACCTGTACTTCCCTTTGTGGAGAGAGTGGAAGACACCTAGGGAGAGACTAGCCAAGAACTCCAGTGCAAATCTTGAATCTCTGCTGTCTCAGATGAAATCACCATCAGACTACTGATTTTGGAGGGGCTGGGCATCCTTCTTTTGACCTGAAAAACCACCATCTCCACAGTATCCCCAAAAGTATCGCAGACAACTCTTAAAATTCCTGAGAAAAAGTCTGGCAATTTTGGAAAAAAAAAAAAAAAAAAAAAAGTGCTTCAGCACAACACAGGTGTTCTTTTCTCCTCATGCTGCTTTTTCTCCTCAAGTGCAGGGGTGGGTTGTCCTCCCAGGTGTCCTGGAGCCTGTGCAGGCAAGTGCTCCGTGGCAGTATTTTCTCGTTTCATCAACAGAGGGAGTAGGCAGTTCTTTCCTTTGTGGCATTATTTAAGGTTCATAAAGAGAAACAGCATACTAGCCCTTCCACTTTCAAAGGGAGGTGTTCTGGTTTTATGTAATTTTTCCGAATGGGTTTTTTTTTCTCCTTTTGTCTGAAAAGGATCTTTTCTCCCTTATTTTAATAGACTGCTCTATTGCCTAATTCCAAAGCCTGCTAGTTCCTCCACAGCTAAGGTTGCAGCTGTTTCTGTTTAAAGCTTCATTTTGCCTCCTCATTAATGCCTTCAATAAGGTCTCATGCTTGAGACTAAAAAGGTCTGAAGCATAAAAGAATGATCGGGGTTTGTTTCTGCGGTTCTGTGCCCATGCTAGCAATTTGGTTGAGGGAGACATGTCTACAATACAGCTTCACAGTCACGTGGCTCCAAGTATTCACTTTGTCTACAGATGTACCATCGCAAGATGAAGGGACAGGAAAACATGAGGAAGAAAGGCAGGTCACGGAATTGTCGGAGTTGGAAGTGACCTCTAGAGATCATCTAGTCCAACTCCCCAGAAATCCAGAGCTGAAATCACATGAGGAGCAGAGAGGACAATCACGCCTGCCTCCAAAATCCGCTGGAAATGGTTCCTGTCATTTTCAGTAAGGTGCATTGCCCGCTTTGAAGAGCTGATACTCTTGGGCACAGCCAGCTGCCAGCGGGCAAACCTCCCAAGAGCAGACTCAGATCCTGACACAGCACACACACAACCTGTGAAGGGAGACGGAAGCAATCAGATAAGTGCAATGTTAGGAGCATACGTCAGCTTACAAGTACCTACCCTAAATGAAGGAGGAGAAAAGCATTCTTACGTCCATCTGCTTCAGCCCAGGTATTACTGTTCCCTGGCTGGTTTTCTCCGTGAGAGCCCTCATGAAAAATTGGAGGGTAGGTTTCGTGAGACAGAGACCTGGAGAATCATCACAGCTGCAATTTATTGTGCAAAGCCAGCATGTGCACAGAGATGTATCATGTAGACAATCTCGCTACCTGTCTTTGCTGCTGTCTGTATCTTTTGGGGGCAACCGCAATATAAGCACTTCCTGATTATTTTTTTAAGTTGCTGTTTATTATCACTGTTAACTGCATTGTTAACTAGGGCCCGAGAGGTGATTGTCCCCCTGTACCCGGCACTGGTGAGGCCCCACCTCGAGTACTGTGTCCAGTTTTGGGTCCCCTACCACAAAAAAGACATTGAGGTGCTGGAGCGGGTCCAGAGAAGGGCAACAAAGCTGGTGAGGGGTCTGGAGCACAAGTCTTATGAGGAGAGGCTGAGGGAGCTGGGGTTATTCAGCCTGGAGAAGAGGCGGCTGAGGGGAGACCTTATTGCTCTCTACAACTACCTGAAAGGAGGGTGTAGAGAGGTGGAGGTCGGTCTCTTCTCCCAAGTCACAGGCGACAGGACGAGAGGAAATGGCCTCAGGTTGCACCAGGGGAGGTTCAGGCTGGATATTAGGAAAAATTTTTTCCCTGAAAGGGTTATCAGACATTGGAATGGGCTGCCCAGGGAGGGGGTTGAGGCACCATCCCTGGAGGTGTTCAAAAGACGGGTTGATGTAGTGCTGGGAGGTATGGTTTAGTGATGATGCTCCTTGTTTGTTGTGCGGGTGTCTATTTTTGTCAGTTAGGTTGACGGTTGGACAAGATGATCTTTAAGGTCCCTTCCAACCTAGAAGATTCTGTGATTCTGTGATTCTGTTGTGACACCTGGCAGCATCACCCATGGAGCTGTGCTCTGGGGCTCTGGTGGGCACTGGAAAAGCACAGAACAAAAAGACAGTCCTAGTCCCCAAGCCTTAACCTCTAGCCAAAAGATACCAGAGGTGTAGCCATATAAGCAGAGGAACGGCGAGATGATGGTAGTTGGCCATCAGCCCTTCTCTTCTGAAGCGGAGCTGTTTGTGTCACTGCTCTCCATAAGGTTGCAATAGGAGTCGAGGAATTGGAGCGTCCTTCCTGGGGCTGGGAGCAGCAGTACAGAGGGTGGGTGTGCTGGCTGCTGGAGTTGGAAAGGCTTTTCTAACAGTTTGCGCTGTCATATTTTTTTCCGCTGAAAGCTTAATTCCCGTGAGGCTGCTTATTCTTTGTTCTGTCTCACTGCCTGTCACTGCCTCATTCAGTAGCCCGCTGACTTCCTGCAATGTGAAAGATTTCTCCTCAGCTTTTCAGGTCTGTATTTCTGCAAGTGGGCAGTAGTGGCATGGATCAATAATGCGATAGAAATTCAGAAATGTTTTGAGGGATGAATGCATTTGACAATTATGACTTGCCAGTCATCAGTTTTATTCTGAAATATCTTCAGTCTTAGCATGCAGAGTAGGAGTATAGAAGCGTTCCCTGGGCATACAGCCATGGCACTCGGGAAGCTGAAGCTTGGCTGTTGGTGTAACTGGCAAAGGATGTCAAGGGCAATAAAAGCAGTTCCTACCACCACAGTAGCAGTGAAAGAATATAAAAAGAAGGTGCGTGACCTCTGCTGAAAGCAGCAGGTGACTTCGTGTCAACAGGCAGAGAGAAAAGGCTGAGGTACTCAATGCCTTCTTTGCCTTGATCTCCACCAGCAGAGTCTGCCAGCCCTTTGTGCCTCAAGGAGAAGAGAATCTATTAGTAGTGGAAAAGGACTGAGTTGGGGATCTTCTCTTGAGGAATCCCAACCCATGCAAGCCTGGAGAAGAGAAGGCTGAGGGGAGACCTTATTAATGCCTACAAGTATCTCAAGGGCGGGCTGAGGGAGGAGGGAACCAGACTCTTTTCAGTAGTTCCCAGGACAAGGGGCAATGGGCACAAGTTGGAACATAAAGGGTTCCACTTGAATATGAGGAAGAACTTTTTCACGGTGAGGGTGACGGAGCCCTGGAACAGGCTGCCCAGGGAGGGTGTGGAGTCCCCTTCTTTGGAGATTTTCAAGACCCACCTGGATGCAGTCCTGAGTAACATGCTCTGACAAGCTCTGGGTGGTCCTGCTTTGGCAGGGGATTTGGACTAGATGATCTCTATGGTCCCTTCCAACTCTAAAAAATTCAGTGAAATTCAGTGAAAAATATATTTCTGTATATATAGTATCTATATAGTCTGTATATCTATGGTGTATATATATAGTGTGTAGACACACTATATATATCTATAGTATATATATACTATATACAAGATATAGTGCATATATAGTATTTGTACTATATACATATATAGTATATCTGCTATATCTGGTATGTATATATTTAGTATATATGCTAGATATAGTAGATGTACTATATACATACACAGTATCTGTACTATAGTCTATATATATATATATCAGTATATAAACTGAACGTGTTGTGTGCTCCAAGCCCAGGACGTAAGCACCAAACCCTACAGACCCATGCGACATCCCGGGGACCGCTTAACCCCTTGGCTCCCGGCGGGCCGTCCGCCCAGCTCCGCGGGCACAGCACGCCCGGCCACGGCCGCGGGCTCTCGCCCCGGCTCCTCTTTACCGGGGCCACGGCCGGCAGCGGTACCGGTGCCGGTGCGGGGGCGGTGCGGGGGGAAGCGGGGCCGTGGGGAGGGGAAGGGCAGGCCCCGCCCTTCCCCGCCCAGGCCCCGCCC